ACACACACACACACACACACACACACAGAGAGAGAGAGAGAGAGAGAGAGAGAGAGAGAGAGAGAGAGAGAGAGAGAGAGAGAGAGAGAGATTCAACACATGAAACACTGAAGGGCATGCTCTTTATGTTTGTTTGTTTGTTTGTTTGTTTGTTTTTGTTTTTTGTTTTTTTGTTTGTTTGTTTGTTTGTTTGTTTGTTTGTTCCTTGTTGCAATTGCTCTCACAGTTTGTAAGTGTACTGGAAATCAAAATGAAATGAGTTTTTGCCCATTTGCGCCGCACGAGATTTCTGTCCTCGTTGAGCTCAACTTAGAACACCTGCGCCGACTTCTGGAAGATGTGTCGCCCCAGCCGAACTCCCCCTCCCCTACCAATGGGCCTACCTCACTTGGTACATCCCCCCTGAACGACCTGCAACCAAACTCGTTTTCTTCTCCCTTCAGCATGCATGCAGACAAGTGGCAATCCACACTGGCGCCAGGCGCCCACTCAAAGCTCAGAGATATTAAGGCCGAGAACACTGTTCAGATATACAAACTCGCTTCAATTGGCTATGGCGCCTGAGCGCCTACACATCATCTGTCCGACACTGTATTCACATCACTCACTCTGGACCTCCCTGAATATCCCACACACTCCTACTCTGTATCACGCACACATTCATGACTTTCGCTAACTGTGGTAGCTATGGCCGCCTCCTAACACTAACTACAAGCAGCGATGGCTGCTCTATCTCCCTCTCAGCCCACTTCGACTTCGGGCATCTGCAGACCACCTCGCACAAGACGCTAGGACAGCGCTTCCGCATCGCACACAGCAGAATGAATCCATGGCTGGACGTTGCCTCTTGATTTATATGTTGGTCGCTGGTCTGCCCCTTTCCACGGGGCCCATGGTGCACACAGCCCCACATGATATTTGCTGACTGGACAAAGCGAGACTGGGACTGGGTACCGCTGACTAAGCAAAGTCGGACTACCCACTTTCCCACTTGCCTCTGGTCTAACGTGAGCAACACTCGAAAGGCCAGTTCCCGACCTTCCGGAAGTCTGTGGACTTGGCCTTTCGGGACTGTAGCAGCTACGACCTTCACCTTTCAGGACTGTAGCAGCTTCAACCTTCGCCTTTCAGTGTTGCAACAACTACGACCCCTACACAGCTATGACCTCTACTCGACAGACCCACAGTTCAAGACCTGGCAAGCAGTAGTGGTCCGTTCCACCAAGAGTCCATTCGATGGTGACCTAGTTTACTGGAGTCTTAGGTAACAGAAACATTTGAATTAAATCCATACCATAAGAAAGAGCAAATATCAACTACACAAGCCTACGATAGACAACAGTCGGCTACCAAAACACAGGTCACGGGTTGAAAACACACAGGGGTCTACCTAGTACTGTACATGGGCGAGGTAAGGTCTAGGGATCGAGCCCTGCGATCTAAATCTTTTACCGCAAAGGTGAAAACCGTTTCAGAACTGTTAAAATACAGACCAGGGGTGAAGTCCCACCGCCGAAGTTGAGTTTTCTCAACGCTGAGCTTTCTATCACGTGTGGCATGGTGGGAAGGAGCTCTGCCGTTGATGTATTGAGAATCTAAGGGTACTGAAATACAGGAGAATAACCTATTAGATTTGGTCGTTTTGTAGATTTTTTCTTTGACGTGAAATCCGTTTTGTCGTATGCTTTGGCCCTTTCCGTTTGGGCAGGAAACCATTTTAAGTTTACAAAACTACCCTACCCCCCCAAGTTTTTTTGTTTTTTTAGACATCATTACACCCTGAAACGGAGAAACTCTGACAGCTGTGTTTGGCTCTCTTGCATCAAACTCTCTTCCTTCTTTGGGCAATGAACGCATCTGGCCATCCATTTTGTCTCTGTCCATTTTACAAATGTTGACCTCCTGAGAAACTCTGACAGCTGTGCTTGGCGCTCTTGCATCAAACTCTCTTCCTTCTTTGGGCGATGAACGCATCTGGCCATCCATGTTGTCTCTGTCCATTTTACAAATGTTGACCTCCTGTCCCCTCACCACAGGAAGTATCCTTTTTCCACGGAGACATTCACTCCGACTGTGCCAGACGTGTTTCATTTCTCCGAGTTACGTAATCAAAAATAAGGAGAAAAGCTGTTTCTAGCGTTTTTTTTTCAGTTTTTTAATTTCTTGTTTCGAATTTATTAATGTCAAAATGCTGTCACACGGTTGCGTTTTCTAAACTTAAACTTGGGCGGTGGGACTTCACCCCAGGTGCTGAGTTCGACTCCACTGGATGGCCACTGGATGGCCAGAATAAAGTCATTCTGAACATGATATCCCAAGGCTGTCGCCCTTTTTTTTTTTGAAAAAAAACTCCTGACAGGCTGACACTGTCTCTCGCTTAGATAAAAACAAGCTGGGAGGGCCTGCGCCTTGGATAGAGGAGCAGGGGCAAAGCTTGGGTGCACCTTATGAGGGCATACTCACACTAGCACTTTTCAAAATGCATAGGACCGCAATTTCAACCACACCTGTATGCATCTGGCCGCAATTCCATCCAGAAATAAGTAAAAAAGTCCTTGTGTGAGTATGCCCTGAGAGAAGTCAAAAAATAATAATAACAAGTTAATAACGTTAAACCACCAGTCAGTACACCAGGGCCTGGAGGCGCTTCGCCGCGCGCCAAGCTTTTCGGAACCACCAGCGGTGCACTTTCTTTCTTTTTTGGCTGGCGCCGCCGAGCAGCCATTATGGTCCCCCGTAGGCCGAGCCTCCGAAATTATTGTAGGCGACGAGTTCCATTTTCAGCAAGGCTCAAAAGATCCGTAAAAAAAAAAAGAGAATTCTGGGGCCGTGTACTGGCTTTTTAAACTTTCAACCACCACACCAGTACATGTCCAAGCCGTTTTTCTAGGTGCGGCTGCTTGCGTGCTGAGCCTGGCGGGGTATCCCGGCATAGCGCTCGGTGAAAAGCACATCCAGCCAAAACTGGCCGTGCACGCGATGAGATCTCAAGTGAGCTCGCAGAGTCGAACTAGAGTCTAGCTCAACAGGGTCTTCTTTCCCTGCCGATTCCTTTTTTTTTTTTTTTTTAGTTAAAATCTGCCTTCTCCTCATCGGGGGACAGCCATATATTCTTCTCCCTCACCTCACATATCTTTTAATTGGCGTTCTGCCATCATGATGTTATCATGGAGCATATCTTTCTTTCACTACCTACCTACCACTACTCCCTAAGGCTTTATAGGGGACCCCTACAAGCATAGCTTTCTGCCTCTCTTCGGTGAAGGGAGGATACCTCTCTCGGTGGAGAGGGGTAACGGCATGTTTGCCCCTTTGCCCTAGCATTTAGGGTGCAGGGTTGGGGCCGCCGGTCGGGGCCCGGCTAACACAAGGACCGATCATTTGCCAGTAACTGTGCCGCCCTTTTCATCTATCTTCTCCCCTCCCCCCCCCCACCTCCCCAGAGTAACAGTAGTGTCTAAAGCCAACACTCTCCCACACACCACACCCAACCCACTCACACACGCACTCACTTTGTGTTGGCTGAAGACCTTACTGATACCGACTGGGAGGATCCAGCTGCTGACTATTTCAGTTGGTTGGCACCAAGAGTGTCGTTCCCTCTTTTTTTTTTTTTTTTAGCACTTCTGGAGACCACATTTTACCAAAAAGAAAAAGGCATACGGGGATGATGTGAAATCACACGACTCATTAATGTTACATGCAGCGCGTGCACACACGGGCCATTTTGCAGGCCTGCGTCCGTTCAGGCTAAAAGCCTGAACTTCAGGCCAAAAGCCTGAATTTCAGGCCGAAAGCCTGAAATCCAGGGCTTACAGGCCCCCTGTCGGTTCAGGCCAAAAGCCTGAAGTCCAAGGCCTATCCCTGGTCGTTTCAGACTAAAAATGGCAACAGCCTTTTTAGCCTGAAACGAAGGGCCATTTTCGGTCGTTCATCAGAACGACCGGCCCTGAAACTCAGGCACCGAACCAGGGTTTCGGAAACAGACTATTATTAGTCTGTTTCCCACGCCAGCCCCTGGCACACTTCGGCATTGGCAAGAGGTGCCTCCTCGGCCTGACTGGCCTCCAGTAGTCTAGAGGCAGGCCGAGGTAGTACATAGGACTTCCCAGTCACTTCCGAGGGAGGCAGTCGGTCAGTTGTAGTCTTCAGGATTCGGGTGCAGCACTCTGGAGGGAGTGCTGCGTTGTAATAGTTGTAGCGTTAGCTAGTAGTCTTCAGCACTGGGCGCAGTAGGTAGCTGTAGTCTCCAGCGTTGGGCGCCATAGCTAGGTAGCACTAGAGAGAGAGAGAGAGAGAGCTTGGGAAGGTGGCCGCGCCGGCAGAGGCTGAGGGCGCGGCAAGACGAAGACACACACCGTTTCTAGCCCCGGGCCCGGTGCAGCAGCTCAGACAGGCCCATGGACCCCGTATGGCATCTCCGAGTCCGCATACAAGGCGCACGAGAGATTCCACTATTGCCTTTGGTGCAACAGCGATCTTCATCAGACGCAGGTTTGCCCATTGAAAGGCAAGGGCAGACAGAGAAACTGAGCACCGCCGAGAGTGACGCGACGACACTCTCGACACCTTCGGAACTGGTTTCTTCGCGAGTGACCAGCCTTCATTCTGAGGCGCACGCGGAAGTCGACAGTCCTCCGCTTCTACTTTCTTTTGAGGACTATGCTGCCCGGCTCGTTCCAACTTTGGGTACTCAAGCTCAAGGACAAGGAGTGTGTCCGGTTTCTTCTCCGTCCGGCAACAGCGACATATCGTCTTCAAGTGCTTCGTCACGGGATTCGGCGYGCGAGTTCAATATAGAGGCATTGGACCYGCTCACGTCTGAGGACTTTGCATGGCTTCCTCTCCCGACCACAGGCTGTTTGCCGGGACCGCAATGCGCAACACTTAGCGCTCATCTCCACACTTACCTTTCCTTCTATGCACCACCAACTTCGCTGACGGATGACGAAGTCGCGGTGGGGGACATCCTGGCATATACCACCAAGGTGGCCCACGAGTTTCGCACGCAGCGGTACGATAACAACAATGCACCGCCCATGTATGTCCGCATCCAAGTTGGGCAAGCATCCTGCAGCGCTTTGCTGGATAGCGGCGCGACTCGCAACTTCATGAGCCAGTCTTTTATGCAAAGGGCTGGCCTTAGCGCACAAGTTCGGAGAAAGGCAAACCCGACGGCGATCAAGTTGGCGGATGGAAAGACGCAGCAACTGCTCGACCGTTACATCGAGGCCGTACCGGTCTACTTCGCACCTCATGCATGCGAACCGGTGACATTCGATATTCTCGACACGGACTTCGACATCATTCTGGGAATGCCTTGGCTTGCAAGTGCGGATCAC